GATACAAGGTACACACTAAAATACTGATCAGAGGTACACCCTGAAGTACCGGATACAAGGCACACACTAAAATACTGATCAGAGGTAAACCCTGAAGTACTGGATACAAGGTACACACTAAAATACTGATCAGAGGTCCACCCTGAAGTACTGGATACAAGCCACACACTAAAATACTGATCAGAGGTACACCCTGAAGTACTGGATACAATACACACACTAAAATACTGATCAGACGTACACCCTGAAGTACTGATACAAGGCACACACTAAAATACTGATCAGAGGTACACCCTAAATTACTGGATACACTTACATACGGATTTGAGATTCAAAATGAAATATGAGGAAATTGATATACACACTGATTTAAGATAAAATAATAATCCGAAGTATAAATTAAAAATCAATAAACTAATCTAAGGTACACACTAAAACAATAAGATAAGATCTGATACACATAATTGAATACATTTGAATTTCCTCAGCTTGGTCAAGTAATCCGAAGGAAAAGCTTGTAACTCGTCAGCTTCGTTTAATGATCTGAGGTAGATGCCGAGGTATCTTCGAATTCATCAGCTTTATTAATATGTACATCAGTTTGCGAAAAAAAAGAAGGTTTCAAATATTCCTTTTAAAATTCCAATTGTATTTGTTATTCTCTGATATATTGTGTTCTAATCTCCGATGAGTAAGTTTCGAAAATTAAATTCAAAACAGTCTTTAAATCCTAACGAAAGATAGGTCAGCTTGATATATGATTTAGTACTAGTAAAAAAATGTAGTTTTAAGTAAATATACAAAACATAAAGCAGATATAATCATAGGAAAAAACTTGTTCTGAAAATATTCAACAGTCTTTCCCTTTGAGACATCCTAAAGATTGCTTTTGACAAAATGATGTTTCGTCAAACCTATCACGAAAGGGTCAAAGCAGTTTCCAGACTACGGAAGATGATACCAAGTTTTTAAGCCCGATATTGAAGAATGTCCATATGTAAATGTATTGTTAGGTGAGTTCGTTTCTGTATATTATCTCATGTGTGTTTTAATATTGTTACAGGGAAATAAATACCCACTGAATCAAAGACATATAGTATTCGTCATTTATTGCAAAAGAACCCAAACACCACAATTATATGGAAGAAAAAGAACATTTATTTTATTTTTATAATTACCAAATGAAATACAATAATTTGTTTTCTGGTCTCTTTGTCTTTACTTCGGTTTGGATATAACCGTAGTACAACTGAGTCAGAACAGTTCCGTCGACCGGGAAGCTTGGTCAGTAAGATCGAAATTGTCATCTCCATTATTTTCAAATTCAGTCCCAAAAGGATTGGTTTTCTTTTTAGAAATTACTCATAAAACATATAGCAATGTCGGCATAATCGGTTTCAGTGTATAGTTACGGGGACCCTTAAACTAATCTCGTTTTCCCCGAGATCCTCGTGGAACTGTTCTCCTCGAAAGACGTCTAGCTTAGAAACCATTAAATACTCTATTTACACCCTAATTAGGCACTTTTAGCCTCGCGATATGACAGCAGCGGTTTTAAGTTCCACCCGACGGTCATGACCTTTTTAATTCCAGACTCGTCTTTGTCGTATTCCTTTGATTCTCCGGTCTTTGGTGACACATAATTTAGATAGCACGTCCATATTATTACTTTTTTACGAGGTAGATATGAGAAGTTATCAACCTAATCAAATCCATATATAGAATCTATCTTTCACTGCAGTGATAGACAGAGACTTATTCAATGTCAATACGCGACTTTTAAGTCCCCGTACCTCTGCCCAAGACTATAGTTACGGATTTTTTTTTTTACCAATATAATGATACTTCAATACATGATTTCTGAAAATAAAAGGATATGAACAGTGTTCAGCGAGCAATAAAAACAGGCCAGACCGGTATTCGAACCCAGGAACTCATATATCATATATAGCACGGCCGTTCTAACCAACTGATCTATATGATCAGCTGAAGTCCGCTGGCCCAGCCCCGCTACAGGTACATTGCATGTACATTTGTACATGCACCTATATATATAACTGATATTAGGGTGGTTACTGCATGCTTTAAAAAAACACCATGATGGAATCATCTAGTGTTATTTCTGCGGGGGGACAGAGATCCTTAATCACGCGAACTAATTTAACTGCCTTATCTATTTAGGATACCATTGCGTTCAGTCGCGGATGTGGACACAGTTCAAGGTCATGGAAATTATAACACACAAAACAGTTAAAAAGGGCGTATTTATAGTTTAGACATAATTAACAGAACTTTCAAGGGTTTCCCTTTGATTGTTAATCATATTCACAGCGCCTGCCCACACAACTCCAACAACCCAGATAGAGTATAAATTGGTCTGGGGTGGATGTTGCGGTATCTGTGCTGTAGTGAGGTGGCACTATAAATGAGGCCGTTGGAAACACGGTCCCATTACAAACTGAACACATTACATATCCAGCAAACACGCAGGGAGATAGTAGCCAGGTAACATAGGACTAGTAGTTAGCGCCTGATAAGGCAGCTCCTAAGAAATCCTCAAAATTGTATTGATTAATGTGTATGCTTATTGTATTAATTGTATATCTATGTACTGTAAAGCGCTTTAGAGTGGCTTATATTAGCTAGATAGGGCGCTATATCAAATGTTGTAGATTAGTATTGTTATGTTAGCCAAAGAAAACGTGAAGCGGGAGATAACTCCACACATAATTGTCGCTTTACTTTGCTGATTCCAACTTTTGAGATTTTTTCTAATTTTCTTTTTTCAAATATTCATGATCAATATGAATTTTTCTCTCACCATAATACTATTTCAAAGCATACATCTCAATACATGATGCTAATCAGAGCAAATTACCGAGATATATGGAAATGAGCCAATCCTTCGTAATCCAGACAGTAAATGTCATTCAGTGCTAAGAAAAGAGGTATTGTCCCTAATGATGAACTAAACGCGAAGGAACGACCTAACACTGTCGGTTTATTCCTTGTAAACGACTCCCTAGATAAACCTTTGCCTGACAAAACCTGCTAGCATCTCGAAATGATCCACGCGAGAGATTCTTTCTTATCGGAGGGAGGGCTTTCGTGGGTGTTGTGATTAAGGGTTGAAGAGCCACCGTTTGTTGTGTAGTTGTCCATTTGGGACCGTGATTCGGACAGGATTTTGTCAATTTGGAGATAATAGAAGGGAATAGACATGCATAACGGAATTTACTGGAGCTAACAACACAGTCCCGCGGGTGATTGTCAATCGGATTTTTTGTTCTGTTAATAGAAAACTATCACCAGCTAATTCAGCATGTAACAGATCCATTAGAGAAAGTGCTGACAAAGGGTTTTCTTGCAGAAAAAGGCTCTTAGATTATTTTTTTCACTTACAAGTCACTAGGTTTGTCTAAATTTCCAACAAGTACAATTTCATTATCATTAGTGACGTCACGTCAACAAGTTAGTACACAATTTGATGATGACGTCAAGAAAGCATTTCAATCTTACTAATCATCTCATCAAACATCGTTACATAAGCCTTTCAAATTTTTTGTGACGTCACATCATACGTGAAACATTTCAACGTCACGGCAATATGGCAACGGGTCCTGATGCCTGAAGTTTTAATATCAGAGAGTCGTTTTATATTTCAAAATAGATTAAATATGTTTAAGCCACTTGGTTATACAAATGCAGTCTGTTCTGGGGTTTGACCAACATCCTCTGACGGAATAGACAGCAATAAATAGATGTAGAACATGAAACAGAAAATGCAACGGACAGACCTGGATTCCAAGGATGGACCTCTGAATTTTAAACAAAACACTATTACCAACTGAGCTACATGGCTCTTGATAAAAGTGCAACAGCGCAATAATTAAGGCTGTCTAATCTTGTTTATCGGTTACTTTGGCCGTTTCTTGTGATAAACCCCACAGTAGCGCAATCATTTGTGTTTGTCTAATCTTGTTTATCTGTTACTTTGGCCGTTTCTTGTGATAAAACCCGCAACAGCGCAATCAATGTTTGTCTAATTGGTAACTTTGGCCGTTTCTTGTGATAAACCCGGCAATAGCGCAATTCTTGTGTTTGTCTAATATTGTTAATCGGTTACTTTGGCCGTTTCAATATTGCTGAGATTACCAAAGTTACACAGTCGAAAATGTTTACATAACACCGCGTCGTATCGAAAATATACTTGATTAAAATGGGTATTAACGGCCATATTGTTTTATATTGTGCAATAAAAATTTTAGCTGTTTCACTAGCGAAATAAATAATCATAACTTCAATTCATTTAGATGAATCCGGAAATTATATTATTTTAACATATTTTCTGTATAAAATCATGCGGTCTGGTAAAATTTTATTTGAAAAATGGAAAAAATAAATTTTAAACTAACCTAAGATCTACTTAGTCGACCGACTTAAGTGTGTACATGTACGTATGTTGTGCACTATAACTCACAATAAAACTATAAACAGAAAAACTAATTTACACATTGTAATTAAGTAAGAACGTTCGTTTATATTGCATGCAAAGAACCACCGACCAGATTATCTCAAATTTCAAATTTTACAAATACACTGTATTTCATAGCCCAAGTAGAAATAAAAGACCAAATTAGGTAACATGTACATTCAACTTCATTACCCCCACCCCTTACTATTAGCTTACCGTTCACTTCATTTAAGAAAATAAAAATAAAAATGACAAATTAAAATTACCGATTTCAAGTTTTATCTATCTTTGAGAGATGGCCCAATTGATGGTTCTTAACAAAATCTCGATCATGTTAATAAAAGGAATAATGTACAAAGTGTGACGATGGATATTAGTAAAACAGGAATGTTAACTCATTCACCCTTGAAGACTCATTTGAACTCTTCCAATTCAAAGGTTGGAAGAGTTCATTATAAAATTTCAGGGGTGAATGTTAAAGAAGAAAAAATAATAGAAACGTTATTCTTGAAACGGTTACACTTACCGTCAAATGTCCGGTTCCACATAAGCTTGGTGATTTCTGTACCATTGGTGATGGAGAGATTTCTCGTCAAAGTCTCGTTGAGCGCGATAGCATAAAGTATGACGGCGTCATGAAAGGCACCAACGAAACTGTTTACCTGTGAAGACGAAGACATAACTGAGTAAACTACGAAGGAAGGACAAGGGAATTTGTCCGAACCATAATGTTACTGAACGTGTCTGTACTACCTTTATCTAGCGATCTGTTGTCATACATGGATATTGATTGGACTTTAAATCGAGGAAAACACATATATCATATCTGCAATAAGATTCATCAGTTTGGAAATATGCTTTATCAAAGTTTTACTTGATGCACAAACAATATGAAATATACGTTTTTGTCACATCGTTGTACAGGTAAACAATACATATTGCTCACTCACTGCACATAGCTTGAACAAAGGGACCAGTCGGTCTTGAAACGTTGCGACAATTTTGATACGTACATTGTTTACGTATACAGTAAAACTTTGATAAAACATGTATTATATTGAAACTGTGCATTCCTTGCGTGAGATTTATGAAAACATATGGGAGGTGAAATAAACAAATATAATAAACAATAGTATTCTGGGTGTAAACAAACACAGCATGGCTTCGCCAGGATTCGAACCATTGACCTCAAATTGTTGTACTGCCGCTCTAACCGACAGAGCTACCAAAAATCGAAATCAAGGGCAGGTAACTGTGTATACGAAAAAACACGGTGCAGTGGGACAGGAACTCTTAAATGACAACATAATCAATAAAGGTCTTACCTCTTCTTCTCCATAGGTGAAATTCCTGTCTTTTGATTCTGCCCGTTTTTTGACCTCCTCCGAGAAATGTTTGTACTCGGGAGATGTCGGCTTCCGGAGAGTGACGGTCATCAAAGCTTCGTAAGCCTTTCGGGCCTTTTCGTTCCTTTCCGCTGTATCGTCTTCTCGGTACCATGGTTTTTCACTTTCGTTTTTACTGAAATGAGAAAAAATTACAAAGGTATTTTAAAAACAGAGGTGACTAAATTAATGAAATTTCCTGTAAAAAGGTGACAACTGAACATGATTATATGATATGTGTCAATGCAAAATTAAACATGGCAACAATAATATTGAAGTCAAATGATATGCATTATTATGGTTTATAACTGACACATAACACAGATCAACAAATTCCCAAATACACTTTTAATTGAATTGCCAAATCGGAGCACACACTTAGTCACTTCCGGTTCAAATTGCTTGTCAACAAGGGAGATATCTCTGATAGGTAAGAATGGAACAATGGACCAGTTAGTCATGTGAAGGATCATAGAGTTTTTTTTACATCCAAAACGATTGACACCTCGAAGTCAGCGCCACGTTTTTATACGATCATTTTAAATCTCTATTTTTCGATTCATGTTGATTATTGCCAATTATTCACGTTTTGTGAAATTATGAAGCGTCATCGTAAATCTTGAGGTGGCAAAGTAGATCTCGATTATCAACGAATACGTGTAAATGTGTATGCAGCACCAATGACTGAGTTAAATAATAAAGGCTACCCCCCGCCCCCCGCCCATTTTATTTTTTTTACTAAGTTTTAGCCATTTCTTAGAATGCAGAATATATTGAATCGGACATACTTTTCTGAACAGTACATTTGCTAGGTAAATGTAATATGTACTTATTTCACATTCAATTTTGGGAACAGGTAAAAACTCTCAACTTTAGATGTTGAAGTAGATTAATCATGTGTCTTTAAATAGAAATAACAAGGCGCTGGTACAGCTTAAACCCCACGGAGATGGTATTTTGAGGCACATGGAAATGCAATGAGGTTGCTTGATTATAGTGTTCCGTACTTAATTAAAGTCATTGTCAACAATATGACTATAATGATAGTGTTTAAAAAATACCGAAAATCAACGGAAATTTACGTTGCATTTTTTGTTTTGTCTTCAGTTTGTTTTTAAACGTGTCACTCGGGATCTGAATATGAGTTATTCAGATTTCAATAAAAAAAAAAAAAAAAATCATCACGATATTTAAGGGTGCATGCTACCTTATACGATGCACACCTCCTTTCCAAAAGAGTTCCGTATTAAGCAAGTTTTGCAGCATGTTTTGCAGCATGTTTCTTTATGAATGACAATCTGGGCTGAAATAACTAAATAAGTAGGTGTTTAAAAAGAATACAAATAACTGAATGCATTGTAAAAGCCAAGCAATGTAAACCGATTGTACAAACATAGAAAATATTTTTAACGGGGGACAACTCTAACATATTTAACATATAAAGTTTCAGTAGCTATTTTTATTTTTTGTATGTTACATATGACGAAATACAAATGTACCAGAGAACCGCGTCTGTGTCGATGATAAATTGAAACTGCTGTTCCTTAAAAAGGGCAAATGCACAAGTTTAATTGTCAATTTTATACTACTTAAATTTAAAGCACAGAGGTTCCGATTCACGGATAAATGATGATGCATTCCATGAAATTTAATATAAAATGATTAAACAGCGATGTCGAGTAGGTAAGTACGAACTTAATAGAATAGAACTGTTCTGGAAGTCCTTGGTAAACGCAATTTTTCAATCTCGCACGAAATTTTGCCAGGATTTGCCGCGCATTGCACGCCTCTAACTGTGTATGACCCTATTCGAAAGGTACTGCGATAGCTGTAATTTTGATAAAAAAAAAAAATCCACTAATTCTGTTTCAACTTCTGCACTGATTACATTTATGTGAGGAAAACTGATTTTTTTTTGCAGAAGACAAGCCATGTAAATTGGACGGTATTGAATTAAATGCTAAAGATAGCTTCACTAGGGAAGTAAGGAAACCCAGGAGATTACGAGGGCGACTTAGTTCTCGTCTGACGAAATGTGTTCTCGTTCTACATTTATATTTACTGACACTTTTTTTTATCACCGTGACATTTTCCAGAAGCGTAGCTTTTTTGGGAGTATCCAGTTGCAGTTTTTTGTATCCACATTTTAATTATATTTATACATATTCTGTTTATTTTTTGTCCACAATGTTTGTGGCTGTTTTTTATTCTCATGAAAGACATTTGTAGTGGACTTCATCGTTTCCTTGTAAAATAATGGTAACTTGAATTAACAGAGGATACTGTTTTAATGTGTTACCACATTCGGTAGTTTTTCTCCACATAAGATATTTAAACAACATAATATGATAGTTTGCATCCATATATGATATTAAAACAAGACATTGGTGATTTTGTTATCACCATCTCATCTCTAGCCAAACAATGGTAGTTGATATCACAGGAATACAACAGTGGTTTGTGTAGATGTGATGTCTCGTAGCAACACAATCCTGTTTTGTATCTATGTGATGTCTCCTAGCAACACAATTGTGTTTTTTTATCTATATGATGTCTCCTAGCAACACACTCGTGTTTTGTATCTATGTGCTGTCTCCTAGCAACACAAATGTGTTTTGTATCTATGTGATGTCTCCTAGCAACACATCTTGTTTTGTATTTATGTGATGTCTCCTAGCAACACAAATGTGTTTTGTATCTATGTGATGTCTCCTAGCAACACAATCTTGTTTTGTATTTATGTGATGTCTCCTAGCAACAGAATCGTGTTTTGTATCTATGTGATGTCTCCTAGCAACACAGTCCTGTTTTGCATCTGTGTGATGTCTCTTAGCAACACAATTGTGTTTTGTATATATGTGATGTCTCCTAGCAACACAAATGTGTATTGTATCTATGTAATGTCTCCTAGCAACACAATGTGGGTTTTTTCTGTAGTTACATGTTATGAACTCGTGGCAAATTAAAAAAACAAGCCAGAAGATACTGAAGAGGGATATCATTTCGTTACTCGTCCAATTTGCCATGTATTGTTCTCCTTCAGACTAGGTACCGAGCAGTTTCGAAGAACCCCATTAAGGCCTCCTATTTACCCATTATCTCATTATGAAGCCCCTTTTTGTTCGAAACTATTCTTGGAAGGAGAAATTCCTTCAGACAAACAAACATGGATAACGTTCAAACGTATGACGCTATGCATATGTCACTCCCTTCCCCGTAACCCCCATATCACTGCACTTGAGCACCGTGAAATCCCTTTAGCCGGACAAATCTCTTCGGGCAATTGTTATCCCGACACTGTCTTAAAGAGGTGCAACTGTGCCTATACAATCTCTCATCTAATCCGGTAAACGAATTTAAAACATATTTGTTCACATGACTATTTCTCTCCTTCCATACTCCTATTCCCCGCCACTCCCCCTCACAAACCACCACCGGTATCTCCTCCTATTCAGTAAAACCACTTCCGTTGTGTTCCGTTGCCGCGAAATATCGTAATCATTTTCAAATTAGTCTGATTTGCCTAGTTTCTTTATCATTTAATAGAGAATGTTGGGGAACGAGGACAGGTATTGACAAGCGTTAATCAGCCGGTGATCAATCCTCACCGAATCCCCACGACTTGGCTCTACCTAATGGGCTACCATTCATGTAGTTTACATTAGCGGTTTGTATAAGGGAAACGTCTGTAATACGCTTGCCGATGATGGAGTTTAACGGGAAATGTATTTGAGATCTCACATCCTCAGCATCAGTTGCATTTCAATGTATCAGCGGAAGAAAAATCATATTGATATTTTCAACACAAATTAATATTTCCCGGCGATGTAATAATCATATAAGATTTGTACATGAAGGCACTCATGAAATATTCTATTTATCTTACAACACTATTAAATTTTGCAATATAACTCGAAAGGTTCACGATTCTGTGTGTTGAATATGTCGTAAATGAAGCCCGTACTGAATGACATTTATTTCGTGTCTTTTGATGAGTTTTTGTAATGTGGTGTACCCGTATGACCACGTCTTCCTATTGTACCATACAATGTATAGCTTTCGCGAGCATTTGAAATCCCGAGGGAAATACAAACAAAATCAAAACATATACCAGTATATTAATATTTGCATGATATGAAAAATGTATACAGACAGTAAATAGTTATTGAAGTCATTTTAGGTTTGAACTATATTAATTAAGTATTCATAATCGAATAACTGCTAACAGGAAACATGACGAATTTGATGAACCGCGCAATCGCATCATGTTTATGATTCTAGATGCGTTGATATTAGCTACGGGTTTTAAATGAAATAAATTCAATGTTATATTTTCAATTTTTATAGCATTTAATGTTCCGGACAGATTTTTTCATATCTCTGAGAAAGTCCAAAGGTTAGCGGTGCCAATTTTATTTTTATGACGTCATAAAAATGATGACGTCGATATTCGGCTTCTGTCATGTACATTCGTAGCTAATATTTTAAAATATACAAACTCGTTTTGACTTAATAATAGATACAAATGTAATATATTTCTTTATTTCGCCAGAAATCGATGATGCTGACTATTTCTATGTACATGGGTGATGACTGAAGCTGGTCTTGTGACATATTCAACGTAAACTGCTGTATTGCAGCATGGCGTAATTAAGTCAAACTCAATCCATCACTCCGTGTATTTGACCATAGCTAGACACAACCCTAAAACGTGCGGATGACATGCAGCCGCGATTGAAACTTTTCTCGTGAGGCACCTAACTCGTTTTAAATGGTAATCGTGACCCAGATGGCTTGGAGTGGAAAAGGTTCGGCATATTGAAGACATCAGTCCAGGGCTGTTACCGTATACCGCAGATATCTGTTTCTCATTTGCAAGTCAAATGTATTACGTATACATTCTTACCATTTATCTTGATGTCTGAGGCTAGACTATGTATATATAGCACTCGAGAAATATACGTGTACGTATACTTTATAATGGGTTTAATCAATATAAACATCCTATGCTGTTCAACGATGCTTTTGTAAAGTACTGTATTTTCAACCGAGAAAAGCTCTGTTCGTCGCTTAATCAAGAAGTTTCAAATAAGGGCAATTTCAACAAGTGATGGACATTTGTCATTACATTTACAA